TGCTGTGACCACACTGACGCGAGGAACCAGGGAAGTGGAATGGGTAGAAGCAGAAAAGAGAAGGGGGCTGCCAGGCACCGGGGGTGGGGGTGGGGTAGGGGTGGGGGTGGGGTTGGAGAATGCGTGTTTAACAGGCCCAGAGCTTCCATGGGAGCAATGACAAGGTTTCGGAGATGGTAGCGACAGCTACACAACCATCCCCCTGCGCTGCACACTCTAAGATGGCGACAGGGTGGGTGCTCGGCACAGTGCTTCAGATGCTGCCTGCGGTACCCACATCCCATGAGGGAGCGCCTGGGCTTCATCCTGGCTCTGCTCTCCTTCCAGCTCCCTGCTGACCTGCACCCTGGGAGACGGAGGTGACGGCCCAAGTAGGTAGGTCCCTGCCACCCACAGGCGAAACCTGGATGGAGCTGCCAGCTCCCGGCTTTGACCTGGCCAGTCTGGCCATTATGGGCATTTGGGAAGTGAACCAAAGGACAGAAGATCTCTTTCTCTCAGCCTCCCACCTACCTCTGCCTTTCTAATAAATAAATACATGTTTAAAATGAAATGGTTCCAGTAGTACGTTCTATGTTATATATATTCTACCACAATAAAAAGTAAATGAAAGTCACAAGACACAGTTGTAAAAGAGTAATAATAAGTAAGGGCACCAAGCTGAGGCTGAAGAACCCTTGCCATGAAAATACGTGTGCTGGGTAACGTACACTGCAGGAAATGTGAACACGTAACCAAGTTTAAAATAAAGAACGGGCAACACTCAAGAGCCAGAAATAGGAGGCAACTGAATCCAGAGACGAAAGCAGAAGCTGGGCTGGGGCGGGGGGGACCCCCAGTGCCCTGGCTCTGATGGCTGCGTGCTGTCACCCTGTGCATGGAAGGCACTGATGTGCAGTCCACCCTCCCTGGAGGGGGCAGGGGGCAGGGGTCCTCGGCAGGGCCGTGCTGTCCCTACAGGGACTGAAAACCAGACCTCCTAGGGGGAGCAGTGAAGGAGCCACTCACAGACAGTGAGAAAGAGAGAAGTCACACTTGGGTAATTAGAACCCTCAGGCTGCGCCACATATGGAAGTGCAGGCTAAATTTATCCCACCCATCGAGAATGGGAACCCTAAACTGTCAATGTAGCAGATAAAATAGTCGGGATTACTGAAACACTCAGGTCTCGTGCAAAGAAACACAAGACCAGCCTCGGAAGGACATTTTTACAAGCTGGGACACGCGCGACTCCCACCGAAAAGAAGAGAAGGGAGGAGTGCATGGGTTGGGGGATAGCTAACAAGTGATTGTGAGTACACATGCACAATAAGCTTGTGAGCAATACACCTGTGCATGTATGTACACGTGCACACGTGTGTGAGTACATGCATACGTGTGTGTGCACAGTAAGCACATGAGCATGAGTGTGCATGTGCACGTGCTCACACATACACACTGCACACACGTGAGCACACATACACACTGCACACACACGTGAGCACACATACACACTGCACACACATGTGAGCACATGCACACATGTGTGTGCACACATGCACCCCAGAATGAGCAGCCCCCAGGACTGGGAGCTACCCACACCATCGCAGACTGCCTATGCAACATATGATGTAAACCGCTAAGGAGAGAAAAGATGGAACCCACCGCAGAGTTGCAGTCGAAGAGAAGAAGCCCAGCTCCATCTGGAGCAGGTGGAGCTTAGAGGGGGCCATGGGAAACACCCACCTGGCTCCCCGGAGGGAGGTGTAGGCTGGGGATGGACTCGGAGCCCCGCTGAGGGTAGCTCAGGTGTCCCTGGAGGAAGCGGGACCGGCCATGGTCCTGACGGAGAGGGGTCCCTGGATCAGGGGGACACTGGGAGGAGGCGCCAGTGTCAGCTCTCCGGCTCTGATGGCGGCCTCTTCCGGCAAGTGTTCTCAGCACTTCCTCTCCCAGCCCTCTCCCCAGCCCCTGGCCCCGGCTCCTGCAGGGTGACCAGGCCGTGCTGATCGTCTTTATGCCTCCTCCATCCCACGGTGGCTGCATAAATGCTGCCGCAGAGCCGAGAGCCGTCGTGTTGTGGGAGGCACGTGATGAATCTGCAGGGGACCAGAAGCAGCTGGAAAGCCCCTGGCTTCCTCTTCCACCCTCTCCCTGCCTCCCTCCCGTGCCCTCTGTGTTCTGAGAGGAAACTACCAACGCTGGGACTCAGGCAAGCACTGCCCCTAATTCACCCAGGCATGAGCACCCGGAGGCATCTACCAGGGCTGTACCTGCTCAGGACCCCTCGCTCCCCCTCCCTCCCCGACACTGTAACAATCCCCTGCTGCCCTGTGCACTGGGCACGGATCATCTCACTCGAGCCTCACAACCTTTGAGCAGTCTCCCATTCTGCAGATGCAAACACAGAGGCTCAGGGAGGTGATGCGACTTGCCCTGGCCACAAAGCCCCAGAGTGGTCAGGCTGAGGTTCAAGCCCAGACTCCACAGCTCTGCAATTCTGCCTGCTCCTCACCTGCCTGCCACAGCACCCCCAGCTCGGACTGCCTCCCCTCACCCCTGCTGAGCTCAGGGTGTCTGAGTCACACATTCCTTAGCAGAATGGTGGGAGTGTGGGGGTGGGGGAAGGGATGATCAGACCATGGTGAGTATACAAATCCGAGGTTGTCCTTTCATGATGCCAAGTACTGCTGCAGGCTGGACCCCTTCTGGGTGTAGAGGAAAGAGCAGACACAGGACCACCTGCAGGGGCTGGCATTGTGATACAGGAGGTAAAATCGCAGCCTGCAATGCCAGCATCCCAGTGTTCGAGTCCTGGCTGCTCCACTTCCAATCGTGCTAATGGCCTGGGAAGAGCAGCAGCAGATGGCCCAGGTGACTGGGCCCCTGCCATCCATGGAGGAGACCCAGATAAAGCTCTTGGCCTCAGCCTGGTCCAGTGCTGGATATTGTGGCCATCTGGGGAGTGAATCTGTGGATGAAAAATCTCTCTCTCTCTCTCTCTCTCGCTTGCTCACTCTCCCTCTGTAACTCTGCATTTCAAAATAAATAAATAAATCTTCTTAAGAAAAAAAAAAAACACAGGATCTGCAAACATATGGCTTCAAAGACAAGCAAATGGTCTCTGGACTGGCCTCGGGGACCTGACGCAGAGCCTGCCCCTCCCAGGGGGACTTCCCTTGGGGGCTCTGGCCTTCTTGGACTTGACTTTGTGGGAAGCCAGAGCTGTGCCAAACCTTAGTCCAATCTGGGAGGCAAGGCCCAAGGAGAGGGAGGCCAGGAGTCCAGACCTGGAGCTGCCGCCGACTTTGATGACCATGGGCAAGATGCAGCTCCCTTGAGGCCTGATTCTCCCATCCCCCTTCCAGGCCTGCCCAATTCTCATGATCAGTGCGTTGGCCTGGGGCGGGCTCCAAACCAAGGAGGCAGGAGTAGGGGGCTCAGAAAAGGAGCACATGCTAGAGGCCAAACAGCCACCCCCGCAGTGGTCACCCTCCTGGATGGGGCCAGCACCCTCTCACCAAATACGTCTGCACAGGGTGACCCTGCCTGCCCAGCAACTCGCCAAACTATGACTGTGGATGGCGAAGGCAAGAGAGGAAGGAGAAGAAACGGGGGCTGTGCTTTGGGTGCGGTGTGGTCCCCAGTGACTCAGGACTGGTGGCAGTGGGAGGTGCTGGGGTCTCATAGGAGTGAACCAGAGCCCCCGCAGGAGTGGACTGTTCCGAACCAGTGAGCCTGGCCCCTCCCCATCCCCTGCTCTGTCTTGCTATGTGAACCCTCGCATGCACTCCCGCCTTCCGGCCTGTGACGTCATGTACTGGGGTTCTTGTGATGTCAGCACTACACTCCCACCCTGTGACGCCATGTGCCGGGGCCATGGCCGATGCCAGCACTGTGCCCTCCCCGTGACGCCATGTACTGAGGCCCTCACCAATGCCAGCACTGCACTCCCACCCTGGATGCCATGTGCCAGGGCCCTCGCCGACGCCAGCACTGTGCTGTTTGAGTTTTATAGCCACCAGAACCGCCAGCCAAACAAAGCTCTCAGACATTGCCCAGCACCAGGTATCCTGTGACAACACAAGGATACGACAAGAAAGAAAGGGCGCAGGGGAGCATGGGGGCGGGGGAGCGAGCCTGGGACAACAGGTGCGCCCTGGATGGGGAGCTAGCCCTGGCCCGGCTTCTCACCCTGCTGAGACAGCAATCACTTCCGCCCTCGGTTGAGGATGTCTGAGTGCCAGTGTCCCCAGGTGTCCCCACTCACTTTCCAAAACCCAGCTCCATTGCTTTCCTGTCAGGAGTCCTTCCTCAATCCAATCTCCTGCCTCCTTCTGAAAGGCCTTCCCCCAAATCTATGCCTGCAACCTTCAGCATGGCACAACCCCTACATACTACCTGTGCCACATGGAACAAGGCGGAGGGCCCCTCCTCCTGCCAACCACTGGCACAGGGCGGTTGCCCCAGAAGCCATGTGATGGTGACGGACACTGGCCAAGGGCACAGGCGGGAGGATACGTGGAAGGATGAGCTGGCTTTGTCTGCAGGCCAAGCTAGCCTTGCATTCAAAACGCCCTGGATCCCCAGCCAGAAACTCCCCTTTCAACTGGGCAGCCGAAGGAGGTCCTGACCCTCGCTGCTGCTCACTTCCCCATGGACCTCAGCTCCCACCACTGGCATGGACCTATTGCCCCTTTACCATCTTATCCAACATATTCCAACCCCACAGGCCTGGAAGTCTGAGGAGCTTGTCCCCAGCCACCTGCCTTCAACTGCCCATGCAATTGGTGTGGCTATTCTATGGACAGAGGGACTCTATGGGTGTGCCCTAGAAGTTCTGTCACCTAAAACCCTACAGAGGTCCCCAGAAGTTACCGACCTCGGGGATGCTGTGAGGGGAGGGGTCCAGAGTGATGACCTTCAGAGAAGACCTGAGTGCCAGCCCCAGTGACCAGCTCTGCAAGCCGCCCAGCCAAGCACGGGCGCGCACCCGGGTTACGAGAGAACCGGAGGCTCACCTTGATGCTCGTCCAACTTCCCCATGGTCTCAATCTGCTCCACCAGGTCGTTCGAGTTCCACTGACTCATCCCAAGGAGGATGGCGTTCTTGCCTTCAGCCATGTCCTCTGCGGGAAGGAGCAGAGTGGGCATAAGCAGGCAGGACTGTGTGCAGGTGGCCCTCACGGGAGCTGTGTCAGAGGGAGCGTCTCCTTCTCCCCCGAGCGGGGGCTGAAGTCTGTCTGTAGCTAGACAGGTACGAGATGTCCTGGAATCTGGCCCTGCAAGAAGGCACCCTTGTAGTACCCCACTGGGCACGGGGGTACCTCCACTGGCTACAGAAGACGGGAGTCACGAGAGGGGCTGGCATGCAGGTGGCATTTCTTGAGAAGCAGTGTGTTTGGGAGAAAGAGTGAAACCTTGTCCCTTGCCAGCTCTGTACTGGGGTCCCTTGCCAGCTCTGTATTGGGGTCCCTTGCCAGCTCTGTATTGGGGTCCCTTGCCAGCTCTGTATTGGGGTCCACTGTTGGACTCTGAACTTCAGTTTTCCATCAGTGGAATGGGAGTGCCAACACCTAACTCCCAGTTGTCATGAGGGCTGCAGAAAGAAGATGTGGAGGTCCCAGTGCACAGGAGGTGCTCATACGTGACAGCCATGATGGTTCTCTCTTCATAGAAGTAGCTCACTCTCAGAGTTGAGTTCCGGAGTAACCCACAGAGGAGAAGTCTTCAAATTCTAAGGAATCCCTGAGCTGTATGAAACCTTTGGTCTGGGGCTAGCACAGTGATGTAGCGGGTAAAGCCGCCACCTGCTGTGCCAGCATCCCATAGGAGCAGTGGTTTGCAAGCCCCAGCTGCTCTTCTTCTAATCCAGCTCCCTGCTATGGCCTGGGAAAGCAGTAAAAGATGTCCCAAGCCCTTGGGCCCCTGCACCTGGAAGAAGCTCCTGGCTCCAGATCGGCCCAGCTCTAGCTGTCGTGGCCATTTGAGGAGTGAACCAGCAGATGGAAGACCTCTCTCTCTCCCTCTCCCTGTCTCTCGTTCTCTTTCTGTGTGTGTGTGTGTGTGTGTGTAACTCTGCCTCTCAAATAAAAATAAACAAATATTTTTTAAATGTTAAAGAAAGAAAGAAACCAACCTTTGGTCCCCATCTCACCTTTAGGGACCTCTCAATGCTGCCATTCTCCCACACTCCTCCTCCCACCCTATCTCTATCCTCGCCCCCTTCCTGTCTGAGCGTAGCGATTGCCCTGGGAAGAGTCAGTGGGGCCCTGTTCCCTAACTGCCCTGCACACAGCCCTTGGGGCCTGCACATCCAACACGCACATCTGCTGCAGCCCCTCATCCCACAGAAGCACAGCTCGTCCAGAACAAACCCACAGGGGGGGTGCACCCCCACCACCACCACACACACCTGGAGAGGCAGGCCTGCCTGGAGAGCTTTGTGCCCACCCACCCCCAATCATAAAACAGACACCAAAGGGCGTGGAGGAGACCCCTCAAGATGGGATAATTAAGAACAGAGGGGTGAGACCCATTCCACCGCCAAAGAACTTGGCCCAGCAGATGGAACCAACATGGAGCCTCGGCTCTGGGAGCTGTCCAGAGTTCTGATCCGCGCCGCAGCACCGTTTTGCAAGCAGCTCCCGCAGGGTGCCCCCTCCTGGCTGACTACTAAATGATCTATTTAGCCTCACTTCTCTTGCGGCACACTGAGGTGGTCAGAAGCGCTTTACAAATATTAACGCTCTTAACTTCATAACAGTACTAAAAAGGTACAATTACATTTCCTCCATTTTCTAGACAAGGAAACTGAGGCACAGGGTAACTGCGTAACTCTTGCTCAAGGTCAGTGGTGGGAGCCAGGGTTCAAATGCACATAGACCAGTCCACGAGTTCTGGAGCCCTGCCCTGGACTTACCAGATTAGCTGCCTGACGCCCCAGCCAGGCACCGCACAATCCCAACTCCCAGCAGGTTTCCTCTGTGGCCAGGTTCACACCTGTGAGCAACTTTGTGTAACAGTCCCTGTGCCAGTTCTGCCACATGTGAGCTATGTGCACCCCTCCACCACTGTCGCTGCTGTCTTAGCTCTTATATGGCAATACCAGCTCTGGTTCCATCACTCCTTCTAGCACGCTGTCAAGTAATTTCACAGTAAATTTGCAAAAGCTACACTAGCTGAGATGTTGTAAAGAAATGAGACACGACCCTTGGGAGGCAGAGTTTAGAGAGGGTGAGAGCTCAGTTTAGGTGTCGGGCTGACTATTTTCAACCCTGGAGCTGCCAACTGCTGGTATGGGACCTTCACGGGCCTCAGTTTCCCCATCTGTGAAATGGATCACCGCAGTGCTTGTGTCATGGTTTGCTGTGAGGACTGAACGAGATGAACGGTGCTATTGACAAGGAAGCCCAGCACACAGAGCACAGCCAGACACTGCCATCATCACCGTCATGTGGGATTGTGTCCCACCACCCACTCCTGGGCTGCTGTCCCCATGACATCCTGCCTCAGCTCCAGAGCAGGGGACACCTTGAGTCCTCTGTCTCCTGGTTCAGTTAGCAAGCATGTGGCTGGCTGTTTATTCTAATTCTAACCATTATTCTGCAGGGATTGGACGCCTAAGGGTCGGTGTGCAACATGGGACACGGCCTCCCTCCTGCAGCAGCCCTGACCCTGGTGCCACGCCAGCCATGCATCAGGTGCACGGTACATCCTGGCTCCGGGTTTCCCACAGTGCATCAGGCCTTCTCCTGGCGGGGAGGGGAACGCAAGGCCAGCAGAGCCCACGGGGTCCCCCGGGCCCTAGAGGGGCGAGCACCCCTGCCGCGGCCCTGGCCTCTCTCCTGAGGAGTGTGTGGCCCGGCCCCACCGTCTGTCCCTCGCGGACTCACAGCACGGTTCCCTCCCACCTGGCATCTGGCCCTGTGGCCCTCAGGTCTGGCTGCTCGGGGTCCCTGTCGGGATCTCCATCTCTTGTGGTCCCCACGTGTCCCTGGCCTCTCCCAGGCTCCGGGGTGTTCTCTGAGCATCTGCGCCCCTCTCTGGGCCTCTGGCTCAGGATCTCTTGTTCTCTCCTCTCTCCAGGGGCCTCACTGCTTCCTTTGGGTGCACAAGCCCCTCCCCGGCCTCTCCCACTCGCACTGGGTTCTCTGTCTCTCCTGGAGTCCCTGCTCCTCAGGATCTCCCACCCGACTCTGGTTATTGTCTCTCCCCCTCCCCAATTCTCCCTCGTGGCCCTGCTCACTCTGCGCGCTCCCTGCCTTCCGGCCTGCCTGTCTCCCCAGTGGTACCCCTTCTTCCCCACCCCACCTTTCCCCGCCTCCCTCTCCTGCTCTCTGGGCCTCTTCCCTGTCCCTGCTCACGACAAGCAGACTGGGCAACAATGGGCTTGTCCCCTGGGTGGCAGCCACATACACACACATGCACGCACACACATGCACACAATGCACCCATGCATGCACACACATACACACGTGTATGCACACGTGCACACATGTATGTACACGTGCACACGTGTGTGCACACCCACATGCGTGTGCGCATGTGTGCGTACACCCATGCACACATGTACACACGCACGCACATGTGCATGCGTGTATCACACGCATATACAGCCGTGTACACACCCACATGTGTGTACATGCATACTTACACACATGAACCCACGCATGCATGCATGCACACATGCACACACATGCACCGTGCATGCACACACGTATACACATGTATTCACACCCACACACGTGTACAGGTGTGCACACACCCACATGTGTATGTGTGTGTGTGTATACACACATGCACAAACACATGCACAGGAAGCTGCAGCCAAACAGCTCCTCTTGGAGCCCCCTCAGGCAGAGGGGGCCTTGTGTTTTGCTCTCCTTCCCTCACTGTGTCAGGGTCCCCCTCAGGACCCCAGAGACTACAAAGGGCTCACTGGGGTGAATGTCCTGGCTATGGATTTCCTGACTGTCCCCTGCAGGCTAATTCCCCTCCACTCTCTGTGATCTTGGCATGAATCGTTTTAGCATCCACCCCACCCCCACTAAGCCCTGATCCCTGCTGACTAAGCTTTAGGCTGAGCCTCATCCGCCATGGCCTCAACCCTGGCCTTGACCTCAGATGGAACCTGACCCTGGCCAAAGCCTAGATCCAGCCTTTCCTCCTGCCATAGGCCTCCATTGCTGCTGCTGGGGTGGAAAATGTTTTCCACGGAGCTGAGGGCCGGGCCACCTCCTCCAGACCCCGTCCTGAGCCACCTGTCCTCACACCCGCCACACTGAACTGCCCTGGGACCCAGAGCTGGGAACTTCTGGGTACCCTATCGCTAACCGTCACCTTGCAGATTCACCTCCAGACTGCTCCCACCACCAGCACCACCTCGCTCCTCACCACGGAGGTGGTCCCTACCCGGCCCAGCCCCGGGAAAGCCTTAGGGACTGGCTCTGGGGTGTTGCTTCCTCCAGTCCCCGCCCACCTGTGGCTGGCTTCCCTCCTGTGGGCGCAGACTCGGAGGCTTGACTGAGCTCACACAGCAGCCAGGCAGCGACACAACCGTGATGAAGACCTGCCCTCCGACCCTGCGTCCTTCTACTCCCGCTCCTTGTGCCCTGGGCCTGGGAGACCTCAGGACACCTGGCCCTCGCTCTCTGCAAGCTCCGACCCTGCCTTGGAGCCTCTGTCTGTGAAATGGGGCCATCGCATCCCTGCGCTGCCTTCCTCTCCTGGTTGCCCCGGGAGACCAGGAGCTGAAGTCACTGACGGTCTGCAGCACACAGTCCGGCTCCTCTGGCCAGCCTCCCCCCGGCATGGGGAAGGAGAGCGCCAGCCTCCACGGGCCCTGAGACGGGGACACATGGGGGAGAGGGGCGACCAGAGAGAGACATTTCCCACCCTGGAGAACCCATTGCCCTGCCCAGGGAGAGAGAGCCGTGCCTTGCCCTGCATCAAGCTACCACGGCCTGCTGTGCCCTGGAAATAGACGCTGGGCTCACCCCCAGCCCCAGCCCCGCCAACCTTGGCTGCCCAAGCTGCTCAGGCATGTTCCTGGAGGAAGGAGTTGAGGGCCGGGCACCTCCACCAAAACTGGGCCCTGGGCACTAACAGCCAACACAGCCTCGCCAGGCCAGGAGCCTCGTGGAGTGTCCAGAGCTGCAACGGACCATCCAGGCGGCATCCGGCATCCTCATTTTATCAGCACATGGCTGCACAATTGACCCACGGTCACCCGGAACCTCAGGGGCCGGGCTGGGCCTGCTGGTGCGAGCCTGGGCACTGAGACTGTCTCGGAGCGGTTCCGTTCCCGGGAAGAGCTGGGCCTGCGTCTGCGCGCTTGGTGGCTTTATGACTCCAGTTGAGGCTTTCTCTGTGTCCAAGTAGAAGATTCCAGTGAACGAAGCATCCCACAGTTCTAGATGGAGACGAACATTTTGCTACACAAAGCGACCATGTTGACATATCTAGCCGTGCATGGTGGCCACTCCAGCTTCAACCTGGCCTCCTTGCAGGGATGGAGACTCTGAAAGTCACAGTCATCTTCCCTCAGCGTTGCATGGCCAGGAACCCTGCCTGTGGAAGCTGAGCCTCCTTAACGGCTCAGCTGTCCCTCCGTGGCCTGCTAAGCTCTCCGTAGCCCATGGTTTCCGTCCAGACTACCTGTCAGCATGCCATCGTCATCACCCATACTGAGGAGCTCAGTCACTCACTGTCCAGGCATGGCTCCTATGGGGGTTCCTCTGAGTTCCGAGTCTCTGGCCTCCTCCTCCAGGGAGCCTGGACAGGGAAGCGCATCCACGGCACTGGCCCCTGGCAGAACTCGGCCTTCACCCCACCTGCGGCCACCGGGGACCCAGGCTGCAACTTCCTGCCGTTGCTGCAAGACATCGCGCTCTGTCCTCCAAACCTTGCACCAGCAGCTCCATTGTCCAGAACACTCCGCCCCCAGGTCTGCTAGCGGCTTGTTCCTCGATCAAGGACACAGCAGCCGGGGAGGCTCTTGGTCACCCGATCACTCCACCGCATGCCCTTATGTGGTGGGGGGTGGGGGGTGGGAAGCCACTGTGACACATGACTGACGATCCATCAACCACACATTTAAACGCACCATGGGGTGAGTTTTGACACGCGTGTACACCTGGGAAGCCATCACCACAATCAAGGTAGCGAATGTTGGCCAACCCCCCAGAACGTTCTGCTGCCTCTTTTTATCTCCCAGTCCCCTGGTGACCACCGATCCGCTCCAGTGACCACAGATGAATTTGCGTTTTCCAGAGCTCTGTTTACACGCAGTGCGGGCTGTGCCTGGGTTTGACCTCTCCCACCTAGCGCCATCATCCCCAGACCGGTCCACACTGTCGCTTTTCTCTTCTTGTTGTACCACCAGGGGCTCCTCCGCTCACTCACTCACTGCTGCATGTTTGTGCGCTTTTCAGTTCAGCGCTACCATGAATAAGGCTGTGAGGAACACTCATGGGCCAACACCTGCTTCCCTGGCCTGGGCGTGGAGGGGCCGGGTCCCATCTTATTTCCGGCTGATGAACTTTCTAAGTAGCTGCTGTCTATTGTCCCACATGTTTGCACCCTCGTACAACCCGGCTGGCAGAGCTGGAAGGTTCCCATTCCTGCACACCCTGGCCATTCTCAGAGGCACGGAGTGCGGCCTTCATCGGTCTAATGACGAATGACGCTGAATATCTTCACACGGGCCTTGTTGCCGCCGGGGCATCATTTTGCTGAGGCGTCTGTTCCTTCACGATATTTTATACACGGTGATTCTCAGTGTCCTTACCTGCTGGCACTGTCTTCTCCCCACCACCTGCGAGCCACCAAGCTGCACGCTCCTGGAGGGCCAGGACAGGGTCTCTCAGCTCCCGTGTCCCCTTGCACTTGGCACTTGATGGGCAGAAGCTCCATCAGTACTGTGGACAGAGTCACGGGGTGCGTGTTTGGCACAGCAGTTAAGACCCCAGTTGGGATCCCCAGATCCCAGTGCCTGGCTCCTCGGCTTTCTGTCCAGCTTCCTGCTAATGCGCCACCCAGGGAGGCAGCAGCTGGTGGCTAAGTACTTGGGTCCCTGCCACCAACGTGAGACACCCAGACTGAGTTCTGAGCTCCTGACTTTGGCCTGGCCCAGCCCTGGCTGTTGTGGGTGTTTGGCTGGTGAACCAGCAGACGGAAGAGCTCTCTGTCTGTCTCTCGGCTGAATTCTAGCCCCTGCTCCACCTCTGTGTGACCCTGAGCAACTTCCTCGGGCCTCGGGCTCCCAACCTGTCAAATGGGCCGGCGTGTCAGACTCAGACACCTGGAGGTGCTCCCCAACCCTGACACGTCTGGGTCTGAGGCCACACCTGCTCTGGACACGCCAGGTCTGCCTTCACTCTGCACCTTCCAAACCTCCACAGAGCTGGGCTGCGGCCCCCACACACAGTCCGTGGAGGTTTCGAGAGGAGGACAAGTGACAACTTAGTGCCGGAAGACCTATGAGTCCACCCTCTCTGCCTAGCCCATGATGCCACCAGGTGAGCCCCAGCACTGGGCCAGTGGGCTGCTGCAGAAAGGGAGGGAGGAAGGTGCCAGTCCCAGAACAACTCACGGGCAAAGGACTGAGCTGGACACTGGCCCCAGCCCCCCACTGCCACCTCAATGTGTGATCCTGGGAGGTCCCTTCCAGGCTCTGGCCTCAGTTTCCCCACCAGTGCACCAAGGAGGAAGAAGACAAACCTCTCCAAGGGCCTGCTCAGTGCTGGTCCTCAGAAAGGAGGTATCCCCCAGTGTAAACACACCTCAGGGTGCAGGGCGAGGGCTTGTACCTGGAGCTCTTGGGGACAGAAGGATGCCCGGCACCTGTGTGGCCATGCCACGCACCCCCAAGCAGCATGAAGCCCCCCCAGGACTTGGCTGCCAGTCCTGTTTCTCTGAGCCAGGAGATAGAGATGGTGGGCTCCCGGCTCCCTGGGAAAACCTGCACACATGGAGGAATGGCCAGCCTGGACATGCATGGAGGCTGAAGAGGTATCTGGGGGCTGGGTGAGGGAAATGCTCCATTGTGCTCCCATGGGGCTGGAGGTCACGAGCTGGCTCCACCACAACTCGAGCGGGACGTGCAGAAGCAGCAGGTGCGAGCCCTGCTCAGGGCTGAGGATGGAGACCACATCCAAGGTCAGGGGCAGGACTCAGCCTGGGCTGCAGGACAAAGGGCAGGGATGTGACCCCTCGAGGGCTGCTCAGGAACCTGGATGTCCACAGCCTGGCAGAGTTGGGTGGGACTGGGCCCTGGGAGAGAGACGGCTGATGCCACCTCGTGTGGCCCTGAGCCAAGGAAGCCCACCAAGGCCATGGGGCAGGGAGGCCAAGGGCCCAGGGCCTGTGGGGCCCTAGAAGCTCTGGGAGAGGGAAGGGGGAGGGCAGAGATGGGAGTCCCACGGGGAACACTGAGAGTGAAGAGGGGAGAGAGAGGAAGAGAGCGTGGCCCTGGGAGAGCGGGGAGAAGAGAGAGAGGGGGCAGTGTCGTCCCAGAAAGGGCGGGACATCAGGACAGGGGAGGATGGAGCCATCGAGGGTGACTGTGCCAGACAGGGAGGGGAGGGGGGCAGGAAGTCGCCACAGCTGCTCCCAGGACAAGCAGGTGAACAGGGCCCCAGGGATGGAGTTGGCCCCTAGGCCACCCCTGGCCACCTGCCCCACCCCCAACTGCAGCACAGCTTGGCTGGGGCGTCAGGGGTGGGGTGGGGAGCACAGAGCCCTGACAAGCCACACAGGGACTTTAAATGAAATTAGCCTAGGATCAAAAAGCTGAAGCCGTCATGGTCACACTGGGGATCAGTTCCTGGGGAGACATTGCCCCCGCTGCCCCTGCAACCAGAGGCCAACGGGAGATGCAAACGGGTCCCAGATGGGCCAGCTTGGGGCTGGCATCAGGGTGGGGCTCTCCTCCCAGGACAGCTCCCCAGCTCTCCCCCTCCCAGCCACGTGGCCTTCAGAAACAGGAAATGTTTCTGTGGACTCTGTTACTGGAGTCCAGAGCCCACAGGGACACTGAGGCCCAGGAAGGTGAAAGACCCAGCCATGTTCCCGGCATCCCCTCAGTGTGCAGCAGGTCCCTTGTCAGGAGCAAGTCCACACCCCAAACATGAGGCTTCCCAGAGTGAGGCTGTGCAGGTGAGGCGGAGGCTGGGGGACCCTCCAGGGTGGGGTGTAGAGCCCAGGACTCCCCCCACCTGCTCCCACACCTCTAGACTCTCTCGTAAATCCCTGCTGCCCATGGCACCATGCATCTGCCCTGTGCGCTCTCATCCCCGGGCCTGTACTCAGGCCGGTGTCCACCTCTCTGCACCCAGCAGGTGCCTCTTTCTGCCACCCCAGCCCACACAGAGCCGCTTGCCAGGTCCCAGCGTGAGGCAGGCCCCCCTCCTCGCCCACAGCTGTCTCTCACCGAATGTGAGCAACAGTCCTGCAGATCCCCGGCTCCCGGCCAGCGGCGAGGCCGCTCTTCCCCTTGGCCCCTGCAGCCTCGCCTCTCACTCCTGCCCCTTGCTCATCACCTCCCTGTGACACCCCTGGAACATTCCAGAGTGTTCCCCCACTCCTTGCTACTCCAGGGCTGTCATTCCTGCCGTCCTTTCTGTCTGGAAGGCTCTTTCTCCCACCTGTCAGTGGCCAACTCCTGCTCCCCAGCTGTGTAGAGTGTGGGTAACCACCTCCCCGCCAACACACACTGCACAAAGGCCCCCAATCCTCACACCCGGTGCATTCGCTTGATGGCGTCTCTCTGTGGCCGGGGTTTCCTTTGTGTCCGTTTGGTGCTGGCCCCTCCTGCTCGGGCACAAGTTGGATGAGGGTAGTACCGGTGCCTGCTGGATACTGCAGGAGCTCCAGCACCCAGGACAGCTCCCGGCAACGCTCTGGGCACAGCCAGGGGATGAACCCTGGGACCCTCAGGGATCGGGCGGGTACAGAGTGGGGAACTGAGTGGCGAGGGCTGCCAGCCCCCAGCAGGAGTCTCCCCCTCACCTGCCCCCAGCCAGGGATAGGGGGATGGGCTCACTCACCTCTGGCATCAAAGAATTCATCATCCGAGCTCTCCACGGAGTCACTGAGGACATTTCGAAGGTGCCAGGGGGCGCCGCCGCCCGGGGTAGGGCCACCTGCCAACAGGAGCACACCTGTTAGGCAAGCCCAGACCGCCTGGATTAAGGGGCACTCAGTTTCCTGCACGCCTGCTCCCTCCTTGTACAGCCTCAGGCCCCCCAGAGCCCTCCCTCTCGTCTGCTTTCATCAGTGCCCTCAGGCAGAGTCCCGTCCAGCAGGGCGGGAATAAGTATGTCCATTTTGCAGGAGGTAAAACTGAGGCTGGAGGCGGTTGAGAGGTTTCTGCCAAGGAGACGAGCATGTTGGGCAGCAGAAGCAAAGTTGTGTGTGGTTACAAATGATCCTGGGCACTGGTAACAACAGGTGCCCGGGTCGGAAGGAGACCCTGTTCATCACTGTCACTCATGACGTAGCCCTCTGGAAATGAGACCTCCAGGCCGGCTGAGGCGGAGGCAAGGGCACGGGAAAGCACGTCCAGTCTGACACGCGTCTGCGCAGAAGCAACACCTGCCCTCGTGTCACTCAGAAGCAACACGCCTGCACACATGTCATCCAGAAGAGAGACACTTGCCCATGTGTCAGTGGCCAAAGCAAGCCACATGGCCACACCCCATTCCAGAGGGTGGAGGAGGGGAGAACCAGACACCTTGATGAGCACCACAAATGGTGACCACACACTGCAGGTGCAGCCCAGCCAAGGACCGCAGCCCCCAACAGAGAAAAGAACCCAGAACAGAGAGGAAGACCTGGGTTTGAGTTCTGCCCTGTCTCTGCCACCAGCGACTTGCACAGCCAAGTCCTTCCCACCCCGCAGCCTCAGTTTCCCCTCCATAGCACAGTGACACCAATCAGTCCGTTGCTGGCAGGATCCCATGTGCTCGGCAACTAACGTCACACTCAGGACGGCAGTGGTGCTTTGCACCGCTAAGTGCAGAGGCCAGGCTGTGCGGCTGAGGGGGCCTCTGGAGCAGGTGGGAGTGAGGACACCCAGGGGACACATGCCTCATCCTGAACTCTGCACCAACGCCCCTCCCAGCCCAGGACCAGGGGGAGGGAGGACAGGGACAGCCCTGGGCCAGGAACCCCACTCTGTTCTCTGAGTCTCCTCCACCAGGAACTCTGGGACTCTGGTGGGACCAGCGCACCGGCCAACCCCTCTGCGTGCCACCCGGGTACGTGGAACTGAAATGCTGGGACTGTGGTTGGACTGAAATCAAGTTGCAGAAATGAAAACCGCAAAGCTGTTGGAAGAAGATCAACCTAATAATTTCCCCAAGGGAAGCTCAGAGGCAGAAGCATGCAGTTGGTCGTCTCGGGCGCAGGGAGGCTGAGAGCGTGCTCGAATCCCCCGAGCTTACACACGGGGCCTGGGCCGCACACACTCAGCCATGGCCTCTGGGGAAGCCCTTGCACTGGTCAAAGGCAGAGCAGTTCTTCCAATACTGACGCGGAAAGATGCCCATAGGACTGCTTAGCAGAAAAAGCGCAGGGTCATCCCACAACAGTATGTTCCTTTTGACTCCATTCTTTAAAAAAAAAAAAAAAACTCTCTGCATGCTGAGTGATGCGTGCAACATGGCCAAGAGCGTGGGCTCTGGGGCTGGTGTTGCAGCACTGCAGGTTAAGCCACCGCTTGTAATGCCAGCATCCTGTATCAGAGGGCTGCTTCAAGCCCCAGCTGCTCTGCTTCTGACCCAACTCCCAGCCAATGTGCGTGAGAAGGCAGCAGAAGATGGCCCAAGTGCGTGGGCCCCTGCACCCACATGGGAGACCTGGAAGAAGCTCCTGGCTCCTGGCTTCAGATAGGCCCAGCTCTGGCTGTTGTGACCATTTGGGGAGTGAACCAGTGAGATGGAAGACCTCTCTCTCTCATTCCTTCTTTCTCCCTCTGTAGCTCTGCGTTTCAAATGAATACACAAATATTTTTTAAAATATTATATAACGGCCGGCACCGCGGCTCACTTGACTAATCCTCCGCCTGCAGTGCTGGCACCCCGGGTTCTAGTCCCGGTTGGGGCGCCAGTTCTGTCCCGGTTGCTCCTCTTCCAGTCCAGCTCTCTGCTGTGGTCCAGGAAGGCAGTGGAGGATGGCCCAAGTGCTTGGGTCCCTGCACCTGCACGGGAGACCAGGAGAAGCACCTGGCTCCTGGCTTCGGATCGGCGCAGCACGCCGGCTGTGGCAGCCATTTGGGGGGTAAACCAATGGAAGGAAGACCTTTCTCTCTGTCTCTCTCTTTCACTAACTCTGCCTGTCAATATATATATATATATATATATATATATATATATATTATAACTATATGAACAGATGTATTAAAATGTTTGGAAGGACAGGTACCAAAATGCCCGTAGAGATCTTCCCTGAAAGGCGGGGTCTAATGAGAAGCAGAGGAAGCTGCTTTCACTGCATGCGTAATTTTATATGACTATTAATTTTATATAACTCTTTTCTGTAACAAGTTTTATTTTCTAGGACAAGCACAAAAAAAATGCTTTCCAATGAAAACTTAATATGCAAGATAAAAGAGATTTTCAGTTAGTGTGGGTTATTAGGGGGAAAGGGAGTCGCTGCATTAAGATGAAACTGTTGATGCAATGGAAATTCTCATATGTGTAAGACTTAACTGTTTAGGCACCTAAGCAATTCAACACATGATGATAGTAGCATAAGAATCTGAAACACTCCAATTTTATTAACTCTTTTTCCCAGTTCAAGATGCATGTTTTTCACACTGACATCTTTGAAATTGGGCTGTGACTTAAATGATGGCATGTCATGATGTCCTCAGCATTATTTAGCCTTGGTCCCGGGCGTGTAAAATAATGTGCACCACCCAACGGACTGCATTGCCAGCGGAAACAGCCAGGCCAGCACCCACACGGGGTCTCACTTCCCTGAGCCACCAGGCGCACGTGTCCTGGCCCCACACATAGCCCTGGGTCCTTCTGTCAGCAACACCTTGCCTCGGTTTCCCCATCCATACAATGAGCAACCTGACAGAGACTGGCCCTGCAGAGCCCACCTGGGAGCATAGCAGATGTTAATAATAAACAGGTGGGAGGTGAGTCCCTCCCCAGTCACAGCCACAGCCATGGTGCAGCCTCTGATGCAACCCAGGAGAACGTTTGCAGCCCCAGGTCACCACACCCCTGCTCCACAGGGTGCTGAGCCCAGACCTGGAGCTGCTAAGGACAGCCCAGGTGAGGACAGCCCTGGGGACACAGCCCCCCCCTCCCCCCCCCCGCCTGTCACTCTGCCCCACCCACCACAAAGTCCCCAACACACACAGTGCAGGTAATGCACTGACCCAGGAGCCCCCTCCAGGTCCAAAATCAGGCCTGCTGCATGCTGCCCTGGCTCCCTCTGAGCTCCGAGCCCCGAGCTCGCCCATGTGGGCCACATAACAGCGCAGCTCAGGCTGGGGCCCTGGATTTACCGCAAGGGCAGCCACGTGAGAAGCCAGCTGCATCCTCACCGCGTTTCTCTAACGGGGCTATGGGACTGTTTTCCAAATGCAGGTGGAACAAGTTCTTGCTAGTGCAATAAGACCAAAAAAAAAAAAAAAATGCAAAGTACACAGACCAGAGAGGAAGAAATAAAGCTGTCTTAATTCTCAGGTGACATAATTGTCTACATAGAAAACAAAACAAACGATAAAAAAAAAAAAAAACTCTACGAAATCTATCCAAAAAAAAACCTCCATTGGGCCCCATAGCCGAGTATAGCAAGATCGCAGAGCACAAGATGAACGTGGAAGTCAGGCGAGGCACACTCTCACATGCTGGCAATGAGAGGGGAAATTTGAAAATTAAAAAACAATAGCATGGGCCGGTGCCATGGCTCACTAGGCTAATCCTCTGCCTGGCGGCGCCGGCACACAGGGTTCTCGTCCCGGTCGGGGCACCGGATTCTGTCCCGGTTGCCCCTCTTCCAGGCCAGCTCTCTGCTGTGGCCCGGGAGTGCAGTGGAGGATGGCCCAAGTGCTTGGGCCCTGCACCCCAAGGGAGACCAGGAGAAGCACCTGGCTCCTGCCTTCGGATCAGCGCGGTACGCCGGCCACAGCGCGCCAGCCACAGAGGCCATTGGAGGGTGAACCAACGGAAAAAAGGAAGACCTTTCTCTCTCTCTCTCTCTCTGTACAGTCCACTCTGCCTGTCAAAAAGAAAAAGGAAAAAAAAGAAAGAAAAAAAGAAAGAAAAAAAAACAATAGCATGCACAATAGCACAAACATGACACTTGAGTATTTCTTCGATTCAGAAAACACAAGGGTGGGCACCGGGGCACAGCAATGAACATGCTGCTGGGGACACTCGCCACCCATATCCGGGGGGGCCTGGGTTCAAGTCCCGGCTCTGCTTCCAGTCCAGCTTCCTGCTAACGTAGGCCTTGAGACACAGCAGGTGATGACTCAAGTACTTGGCTCCCTGCCACCCACGTGGGAGACCCAGGAAAGAGCTCCTGGCTCCGCCTGACCCCGCCCTGGCTGTTACAGGCATTTGAGGAGTGAGCTGACAGATGGAAGATCTCACCCCCTTCTCTATAAATATATATACAGACACACATGTATACATATACATACATACATATATAATGTATACATAGTCTATATGTCTCTGTGTGCGTGCATGTGTGTCTCTCAGCCTCTTAGGCAAAAAATGAAAATAAACACAATCACCTAAAGTTCTTCCTGAGCTTATGTTAGCTTTATACAATTTCTCAACCAACGGATACTAAAGGGATACAAGCTTTCACACATATTATAAGTAACACTATATTACCATACTATATTACTGCATCAGTGCACAAATAGCTCTGGTACCCAAATCGATTGCATTCCTAGGAAGCCAGAATCGGGATGGTTAGGAAGGCCCTGTTCCCCTCCCCAGTGCTGTGCCGAGCTCGGGGCAGCAGGCGTCAAGAGGGTGAGGCATCGGGAAGATTTACTGGCTGGATTTGTATGCAGGGGTTCCTTGGTGCTCATGGTCAATGCTGCACCCAGGAACAAAGGCAGCCTGCCACGCCCAGCGCACACCCTCGCTCTAGAATGTGGCCTTCC